AATTGTGTCAATTAACGATAATATTAATTTTTTTTTCTGCTAGATATATATATATATATGTATAATATATATATTATACATATATATATATATTATGTATAATGTAACACGATGATATAGGCTTGATATGACGGTGGCACACGTTTACTACCTTTATTCCCTTTCTTCTCACTTTCATTTCTTCCCTCGTTTTCTCCTTAATATCCTTTTCTCGACTCGATAATTTTAATTAAAAAAAACATATATTTTTTACAGCCGGGGAACGAAAACCCTCCGATCTTATCGAATCGCTTCCGCACAAATGTTTCGAATAAGAGAATAAAGATTGTTCTGGAAACACAGAAGTAAATCAGATAAAAAATTAGATTATTATTTTTGATTATCATCGTTATTTATTATTGATTTAATCAGCCTCACCGTCGTTCGATTGTCTCTTGACCGATCTCCCAAAAATTCTCAAAGAAATTTGCCTCCCAGCGGGGAGAGTCCTCGTTCCTCGCATATTTTCAAAGAGAAAGATTCGTTGAATCGATCCTCCCTACATCGATTGCACTCGAAAGAATTCGAAATGGCGATTTAAATGGCCATCAGCGTTTAAGCCAGCGTAAGCGTGTCGATGATGTTCGAATGGCCGCATAGGAAACTAAGAGAGTATCTGTGCTCTATTCGCTGCGCATATAATGCTTAAAACGCTCGAGTCGAGAGGGACGAAGGATATACTTTTATTCCTGATGATGAACGCAATAATAATCGATCACACGAAATTCTTTCGTTCGTTTGCACAGGGCAGAGGAACCGAATTCGAGACGAGATATTGCTAACCGTGTTCACTTCAACCGCCTATAACGTTCTCGACGCTCTCTCCTGCCTCGTCTACGTACGATCCGTCTATCCCCTTCCATTCGTTAACGTGATCTAGCTTCTAGGTCAGTAGAATTCGCGCTTGATTGATCGTTTCAATCTTTCGAAAAGGAAAGGTTTCTTTTTTTTTTCTTTTCTTTTTTTTTTTTAATATTTTCGCGTCAGAGATCGAATGGAAAAAAAGGTGTGTCGTGTAACTGTAGCAACGAGTAAGAGCGTTTTATCGACGAATTAAAGAGAGCATCTTCTTTTTTTTTTTTTTTTCTTTTTCTTCTTAAGGTATTAACGATAAAATTTTACACTTTCAACATTAGTCGCTTAACTTCTCGTACGGCAGACACCACGATATATTTTATATTTTATTTATATTAGTAATATGTAGACGGCGAGCGGACACTGGACGATAAATGGGCCGTTCGTTTTACAACCTCAACACGAAACTCCCGCTTCCCGAAAGCTTTTCTCGAAAGCTCGAAAATGACGAACGTTCATCCACCTGTTGGCTCGCAGAATTTTTCGTTCAATTCGCAACGCGGGAATGAACTCGATTGGAAGAATCGCACACTCGACTCATCGAAAAACGTATTATCCCTCTTTCGATTCAACTTCGCCCAATTTCGTTTCGAATTTCCCGCGCGAAATCCTCCCTGCCGGGTAATCACGCGTCAGGCGCTAGGGGCGTTCGTATAGGTTCGTATGCTGCGTTAAATGCTCGAGAAATTCGATTTTAGCGAGATAATTTTAATTATGCACTACATTGTAATACAGACTAACCCTAGACTAGCTGTATGATTTGGGGAATGGGGAATACAGGGACCACTTGGTGGGGCGCAATTTTTCTCATCTTTAACAGGGCTATCGAAGAAACATCGACGCACAACGTATGTACAAACGAATCGTTTCTCCGTCCATTTTTAGTGCCTCGAATGTTCTCATTTTTTTTCTTTTTTTTTTTTTTCATTTTTCAACTCTATCCTGTTCCCTGCTGTCCCATATAAATCGGCCAAAATTTTAATCTATCGCACTCTGAGAAAAAAAATATTCTCTCTCACTCTCTTTCTCACTCATTCACGCACACTCTCTTTCTCTCTCTCCCTCTCTCTCTCTCGCTCGCTTTCTCTCGAGAACGGATCCTGCCAAAGCGTAACGATTATCATAACGCGTGGAGAACATTGTTTCTCTTTCAGCCCACAATTTCACTTCTCTCGTTGAACGAATTTTATGATGTTGTTATATAATCATCGTCGATGATATCGTTTTCCGGAAATGGTCGATAACCAATTATCGGTCCTCCCTTAAGACACGCGTTCATTCTTCAAAAGGAGATATTCTTCGTTAACGTGATTTCCGCTCCTGTCCTTCTCTTCCTTCGTCCAGGACAATCGTAGCCCTGTACATCCTGGATCGCGTTTTTCTCGACGCACGAAGAAAACGCTCGATGATTTCGTACGTGTACGAGTTATCTATATGTATATATATATATATATTTGGTTCGGTTTCGAGACTATGATCGAGGATTCGTTTTGGAACTAGTAGTATATATAATAATGGTTCATTTCTTCGATAACTTTCTCGATGGAAGATCGAGTAAAATTCACGCGTTCAATCAATCAACCCATCGTTTTAGGCTTTCTATTTTTCAAGCTCGATTAGATATCGGTGCAACTTGTATCCTTATATTAGACTAGACTCGGAATAGAAAGTTTAATTTCCTCGAAGGAGAACGAGTTCGAAGGAAAAAGAGAAAAAAAAAAAAAAAAAAAAAAAGAAAAAGAAAAAGAAACGAAAAGAAAAGGAAAGAGAAGGAAAGTTGGAAGAAATTCTATCTCTATAAACTTTTTAGAAGAAGAGTTGCAACAATATCTAAAGAATATAGAAGTGTGAACAGTGTGAAGAAGAAGAATGTGAACGAAGAAGAATCGAAGATCTCTGTTAAAACAAACCGTAACCGTATTTCACACGCAATTATCCATAAACGTTCTAAATATGATTTATAAATATACGTATCTATGCGTGACTATTTACACATATGTAAAGATCTCATATAACAATAAATATCGTTCTATCGATCGACGAACGAAGGCTCTCTCTCCAACAATTTCCATAAATATCTGCAACTGCTCTCAACGTAAAATAGACACGTTACCAAGTGAATTGGGACTGAGAAACTATATGGAAGTCGTTCATGCGTTAACAGTTCTCTAGACGCTTCGTAATTGTAGCTCGATTAACATACCAATTAACGCGATTTATGATATAATATTTCTACAAATTCTTCTGTATATTTCGTTCGTAGCATAATTCACGATTATATATTTACAACACACCCTCTTTAACGATGCCATAAATCATCTATCACACGATTAAACACACGCGATTCGATTCGATGAAGGTTTTTTTTTTCTTTTTTTTCCTTTTTCTTTTTTTAATCGATTCTTTCGATTCTACGAACCTAGAAGAAAATCTCTCCCTTCATTTTTTTTTTCAATTTGTCCCTTCATTTCCCAATGAACGATGGATGGATTCTCTGTAGAAGAATCAAGCAACGATTTTAAAGATTCGGAACGATAATTCGACGAATCCCCCGATGGGAGAGAAAAGTGCGTTTTTTTCGTGCGTCCGAATTTTCTTTCCTTTTCTTTTCTTTTCTTTCTCTTTCTTCTTCTTCTTCTTCTTCTTCTTCTTCTTTATTTATTTGTTTCAGCATCGCAAGATCATCGAGCGTGCACGAAATGTTCGTTTATTGTCATCTTGAAAGCTAATCAGCACCACTTGACTCGAATCTCTCTCTTTCACTCTTTTCGTCCTCGTGCATTTCTTCATTAAATCTCGAAACAACGTTAACTCGTTCGGCCTTACGCCATTGTTCCAATTGCAGTTTACGTTTTATATTCCCTCGTCTTGCTTAACTATCTAACTACATCTCTCGCCTCGTTAATTTCTTATTTGTTTCTCGTTTTTCTCGTAATTATTCTTTTTATTCTCCGTTCCCTTCAACTAGAGTTCTATGCGCTCGTTATACAAACGACGATCTTTGGACCCGTGGCAAGAAATCCAAAAAAAAAGAAAAAAAAAAAAAGAAAAAAAAAGAAGGAAAGGAGTGAAACTGTCCTGTACATACTCGTCCTTCCATTTGGATTGCGTTTTGCACGTCATTTCCACGGACGATGGGAAGAAAATAACGACGGGGATATACGATATTCTCGGGATTGATCGATTTGACTTCCCTGTAATCTTTCTCGAATTCTCGTCTCTCCTCTCGTATTTCTTTTCTCTCTTTTTTTTTCTTCGAATTTCACAATTTACATTTTCGACCAAAGGACGAAGTGCGAATTGCTACCCTTACGTCGCGTTTCACCCTCTCTGATATTTTTCTGATATTTATACACACAGCGACGGGAATAATAAAGTATCGAGCGGTTGAACGAAACTCGACGTAGCGGAAAGAAAATCAACGATTTTGGATGGAAAACTGTGCATATATTCATCCCCGTGAAACAGAGCATCCCCGGACGATCATTGGGACATGCAATCAACTCGTCTACCGAAAAAACTATCTAGATACTATAGTAACAAGTGTAAATCGATCTTCCGTCGACGCTCTGTCTCGATCATCTCGAGCAATTATTTGTATTTCCGAGTCGAGTTTCGCAAAATTTCAAGCGATTGGTTCGCAACGATAAGAAGAACGGATCAAAGAAACGAAAAATTCTTCTCTTCGCGTCAATTTTCGAGATCGATTCCACGATCGATCGAATCGATCATATTCTATCTTCCACCGATCTTTCTCTATTCTCCAAAAACTTCCAGGCGAAAGCATGGCGACGTTTCTCGCGATTTGAAACGAAGCTACCACTGCCCACCCCCCTCCCACTGAATCCTCCTCGGCCGATTCCTTTTTTTTGGAATTTGTGGCAAGGGGGCGACGTGGACGATGATTTGACTTGGATGGATGATGATTACTGGATGGATGACGATAATGGCGAATAATGATGATCGTGATGATTATAAAATGATGAAGTGATGAACGATGTTGGGGGATGTTGTTGTTTGCTTGTATTGTCGCTGTCGATGTCGATGAGGTATCACTGTTGCCTGTTTGTCGGTTATTATTATTGTTATTATTATTATTATTATTAATTTTTTTTTTTTTTTTTTTTTTTCTCAAACTCCTCAAAAAATCCTCTAGTTTGCTTCTACAGTTTGGGTGTGTGTGCGCGTAACAACATCGAAGAAACGAGGAAGGTCGATGGGGTATATATATAGATATATTTTTTTTTTTTTTTTTAAATTTTTTTTTTTTTTTTTTTCTCAAACTCCTCAAAAAATCCTCTAGTTTGCTTCTACAGTTTGGGTGTGTGTGCGCGTAACAACATCGAAGAAACGAAGAAGCTCGATAGCGTATATATATATATATATTTTTTTTTTTTTTTCGCTTTCTCTACGATTCGTTACGATTGGCCTGGTCTACTTATCTGCTATCCTGTTTGTCGCTTCTGTTGTTCGCCCGTTCTCGATCGTTTCTCGATTCCGACTCCGTCGACGTCTTCTCTCTGCGGGGAAACAACGCGAGAACAACTTCGTGGAGAATTCCGTGATCTACCGTATTATTCACTCGGGTTAAAGTTTCAACGATAAAACGTTTTCTAACATTTCTATCCACTGGCGGCAATTCTTTTTTAAAGCGATCTGTCTATTTGGCTACTACGATGAAATTGATGAAATTGTGCCTTTCCTTGTGTTTCTCTCAAAGCAATGCGAATATAATCAAAGATTATTTATTAAGCAAAGATACTCACGAATCAGCACAACTGTTGCCATTCGTGGTAACCGGTCTGGAAGAGCTCGAATCACTGCGACGATCGTTCTTTGTTTCTTCATCGTCGTCGTCGGACGTTTCCAAAACCTTGATGAGCAGTTGTGGCGTTCCTTCTGAACACGTTGGATTCGATTCCACCACCGATAACTCGATGCTTTTCTCATCCTGTTCATATATTGAAAAAAAGACGCTGTTATATACACTTTAAGAATTAAGAATTAGAAATTACCTCTTTCTTCAGCTTCTCCAGTAACCTCTTCCTATCTGCCTTCAGTTGATCGGCTTGCTCGGATTGGGCGGCAGTTTTTATCCCGGAAAGTTCCAATAGAGCTAGATGGGCGTCTTTTTCGGAAACTGCAGCTTTCAGAGCTTCTCGTCTATCGAAAAAAAAAAAAAAAAAAAAAAAAAAAAAAAGAAGAAAAGAACAAGTTTACGAAACAGTGGATATTAATAGGAAAGTATTAAAGAAATATCACTGCTTGCTTACTTCATTTGACGGAGGTCTTCGAGCTGCACGATTCTCTCTTCCGTGAGACGTTTCAGTTTCTTCTCGTATTTCTGCACTTTCGATAGAAGAGGTTGACAAGTGATACATTTTAATGCCGAAGCGGATTGCATCGAGGCAATTCTCTGTTCCAATTTGGTTATCTAAAAGAAGAAAGAAAAAAAAAAAAGAAAATGATAAGAAGTTCGATTTTTTTTTTAAAATGCATTCTTCTTTACCCTTTGAAGAGCTTCCTGCCTCAATTTCTCCTCGTTCTTCAATTTCCTCTCACTTTCGCTCGTGATGACGACACTCTCGCGAAGAGCTTCGCCAAGCTCCTCGATCTTGTATCTTTTCTCCGTCAGATCTTTCGACAATTGTCGTTCCTTGTCTTCCTTCTCCTTGATCACGTTCACCAGCTCCTCGATTTGCTCCAGATCGATTCTCTCGCTGAACGCTCGTTCCAACGAGTCTACTTCGTCCTCGAGTTGTTGAATCTTCTCGTCCCTCACTCTAATTTCTTCCTTCAGAACACCGATGTCGTCGTACTCGCTCAATTCCTTCTTCAGGCTTGCCACCTCCTTTCTCAGCTTCGTCGTCTCTTCCTTGTTCTCAAGGATTTGCTGCTCGTACTCCTGTATCTTGTTGTCTTTCTCGGATATAACGTGCTCCATCTTCTTCATCTTCTGTTCCTTTTCGAAATTCTTTTCCACCATTTGAGCAGAGAGAGAATCCTCGGCCCTTATTTCTTTTTCTTGATTGCCCTTCTTTATCTGAGTTTCTTTACCTGCAAATTGGAATTTTTCTAATGATCGTTGCTTTAAAAACTTAAGTTTTTCTTTAGCAGACGAGGAAGTGAAAAAACGAAGGAATTAATTCAAAATTTTGAAACAATCTTACCTCGATGAGCCTCTTCAACCTTCAATAATTCCTTTTCCAAGTATCCAACGCGATTTTGCAATTGATCGATCCTGCACTCCCTGTCTTCCAACTTTCTCTTCAACACGTCGACGTTGTGCTCCCTCACGTACTCCTCCAATTGCGTGACCATTTCCTCCAGCTCGATCACTCTTTCCCGATCGATCCTAGACTCTCTATTCTCGTCGTTCTTCTGGATCCATCTCTCCAATTCCTGAATCCGTCTATTTCCAGCTGTCACTTGGCAACGAAGATCGTGCAGCTCTTTCACATCGGGATTCTGTTTCAGAAAATCCTCGAATTCAGCCACGGTATCCTCCAACTCCTCTATTCTTCTCGCCTTCCTCTCGATCACCATCTCCATGTCTCGTATACTTTCCGTATCCGCGTGTTCCCTGAGAAAATTCTCCAACGAGTCCATCTCTTGCTCCAATTCAACGATTCGTCGATTCTTCGCCTCCACTTCTAATTTCCAACTCTCTTTATCGTCATCCCGCACTCTAGCTTCGTTCTCCTCCGATCTTTTATATTCCTCGATCAAACGCTTCAACGATTCCATCTCGTCTTCCAGCTGCAATATTCGATCCTCCTTCGCTCTCACCTCCTTCCTCCACGACTCTTTCCCCTCCTTCACCTCATCCATCAATTTCAAGCTTTGGGTGCATACGTTGTCGCTATTCTTCGCGCTCTTACATGCCATCAATTGGTCCTCCAACTCGGCTATTCTTCTGTTCTTCGTTTCCAACTCTTTCTTCCAACCTTGCTCGTTATCCTCCAAACTAAAATTCTTGGCGTCCTTCATCCTCTTCGGGGAACAAGAGGACTGTTCCTTCGACAATGTTTCCAAAGAGGATACCTTCGCTTCCAATTCCGTCATCGTTCGATCCCTCGCCTCGATTCTTCTCGCCTCTTCGTGTCCCTTGTTGCTTTCGAGGATGCTTTCTGGCTGCTGTGTGCGTGCATCGGTGGGTGCGTGCGCGAAGGCAACAGGTGCGAGCGTTTCGAAGAAAAACAATTGAACGGAAAGAACAAGTGGACAGGGTTAAAGGTGGATGGTGGGTTCAAAGTGGTTGGGTAAAAATTAAGAACGAACAACGGTGGTTTTTTTGTCTTTTGGCCCGTGAACATCGAATTGTCTCGTGGCGAACGACGTAAGGGTGCGTCTCCGAATGGCGTTCGTACGTGCCACATCGATCGAATTTCCGGATCTTATGCGTCGTCTCCCTCGTTCTTTCTCTCCCCTCTCTCGATTCGTCTCCCTCACGTTTCCTCTCCTCATCCTGTCTCATCGCTCTCGTCGACGAAACCATCGTAAACTCTCTGGCGACGACGACGACGATGACGACGACGACGACGTGAAAATTTAATCTCGAAAAAGATCTCTCCCACTCTTTCTTCCCCTTTCCTTTTCTTCTCTTCGTTCTCTTACACAATTTTCAACGTGATCTCTCGATATTTTTTCTTTTTTTCCTCTTTTTCTCTTTTACGTTTACTTTATGTATATATTTATATTTATATATCTACATATATACGTATATCTCTCTGTCGTGTACGTGTATATACACATGTACAGTACATGCGTTTGTCCCATTTTCCTGCGTGATATGTATATACATATATTCATATTACATATATATATGTACATACACGATCGCTTCGTTAATAAATTAATTAACATTATTGTATTTGCCGTATTCTCCTTTCTCTCTCTCTCACTCATCTCTCTCTCATCATTTTTACATTAATATTTATATATATATTTTTTTTTAATATATATATACATATATATATATATATATCTATATTTTTATATATATATATATTTATATGTATCAGTAATTATTGTTATTATCGTCAATATCTTCCCGCTATCAATTATTAAATATGTTAACAATGGTCGCAGCGTTACGTAAAATAATTATGTATCTTGACAAAGTGTGTCGTCAATGGCGAATCTCAGTACGATCTCCTTTCGTATTATTTAGTTTCGTATAAGTTCGTGTACTTGTAAAGTTCGCTTAATATGCAAATTGTACTAAAAAGAACGGAGAAGGCGTCCCCAACGAAAATCGACCTTAGAACAAGCTTTTTAGGAATCCGGTGGGACCCGCCTGTTGCGTTTTCAAGTCAAATGAATTTTTTTTTTTTCCATTCGGAAACGCACGGTTCGTTTTCGCGAACGAGACAAAATCGAAAAATGCACCATACACCATATATATAAATATATATATAATTGGAGTTGGGACACAATAGGGCGAACAAACATAGAGAAAAAGCAAACAATGGTGATCAAGCAAGCAAATACAAATATACGTATCGTACGTGTACGTGTCGTATCCAGGGGGGTCAGCGTGAAAATTGAGAAAGACAACTAGTTAGTCGCTTTTCCATCGATGTTAATTTCGAGATTTCGATCGTTGCAAGGGAACCAAATATATATAAGATATTTCGAAAATTACTTCAAATATATCGTATCGAAAAAAAGAATTGATTTAATCGCGTTCTCAAAATTTGTTGACGGAGAGAGTAATAAAATAATTTTGTATATACCGACCTCTTGTTGCTGTGCAGTTGCGGCTTGTTTCAACTTGGCTTGTGCGGCTTTGAGTGCACTGGAAGAGAGAATTAGATGATTAATCGTTCAAGATTATTTGGATTATTTTTTATTTTTCAGATACTGACTCTTGAAGTTCTCTGATTTGTCTCTCTTTGGCATTCTGCTCTTCCTGGGTCATCTGCATCAGCTGCAGCAACCTTTCGGTCTCGGCAGAGCTTCTGGTCGATTCCTCTTTCGCTTTTTCCAATTCCTTCTCGGCAGTTTCCAGAGCCTTCTGCATTTCCGCCAATCTCTTGTCCGGCGAGCCACCGCTCTACAAAATGTGAAAAATATATGAGAGAAGGCACGACAAAAACGATCGACCTCGTTTCAATATTCTCAATTTACCCTTTGTAACTGCTGCTCCAACTGATCCATCTTCGCTTTCCGTTTCTTCAAGTCCTGGTCGAGACTTTGGAGCGTCCTCTCCTTCTCCTCTATCGTTCTAGCTTTCTGATCTACGGACTTCGCTCGTTCTTCCGTCTGTCTTCTCTGTTCTTCCAGTTGGCGTTTCTGCTCCTCCAATTGTCTTCTCTCTTGAGTAGTATCGATACCAGCCTTCGCGGCGCCAGCTTGGAGTTTCTTGTTCGCCTCGTGCAAGTCCACCTGCGTCGAAACGAATCTTATCAATTTTCGTCCCTCCCCGTCTGTCTACCAGACGCTAAAGCTAGGCAAATGAAAGCCGCTTCGCTTGCATGACCCGTGACCATTACGTCCGATCTTTCTCGTTCTCCTATACGCCTATATATTATTTTCGACGCGCGTCAAAAAATTTCCAATTTCCCTCCCCCGAATTTGACTCGATTTTACTCGAATCGAATCGAATCGAATCGAATCGATCGCGATGGCCACGGTTTTCGTAAATGAGAGATGCATGGGAACGCAATTGAAAAACAAGTTAGACGAATAAGAAATTCGCAAATCCCTGGTAAAATCTAAGTGACGTTCATAGCGAAGTATAATAATAATAATATGTACAAAATACACAATAGATAAAAATCGTGTATGCGTCGAGATAAAAAATGTCTCGAAGGTGATATATACTCGTATGGTACATACAAGTAAGGTGCGGAAACGCATTCTTTTGTGCATTCGATGTGAAAAAAAAAAAAAAATCATTCCCAAAACTTCTATGCTCGATCGTGAACGCAGACAAGAGACATCGAAACATCGTCACATCGCATCGTACATCGCATGTTGCGCAATAACCGATTCTCAACCATTTTCTATCTCTGGCATCTCGAATACGTGGTACGGCATGCTCCCAAAAACGAAAATAAAAAAAATTAGGGGAACGTAAGAGGGGGAAAAAAAAAAAAAAAGAAAAAAAAAAAAGAATAATGGGATAATCGTAATAAGGTTGCTCATCGTTGCGATGACGAACGCGCAACAAAATTATTTGTAGCAGTAACAATAACCAGTCGATGATGAAAGAATCGACGAAAGAGAGACGATTATCGCGATCTCCGTTTTTATTCCGCTCCATTCTATTCCGTTTCCATTCGAAACGTTGAACCTCGTGTCCTTTTCTCTTTCTTTCTTTTTTTTTCTTTTCGGTCTCATCGCCTCTTTGATCATCTCCCGTGCCGATACGTGGTGATAACGACAAGATAAAACATAACAAGATAAAAAACGGCATAACCATCGAACATACTCGAGAAACGAAAAGGAAGAGCAATATGAGCGCGAATGGCTGTGCTTGAGAGCTAAAATCGCAATGGGTTCGTAGGGTTCCTTTTTTTTTTTTTTTTTTCGAAGGAGGAGGAAACGGAAGGATCGATGGAGGATTTGAAAAAAAAAATTCGAGGAGGATGATGATAAATGGTGAAGGCGATGTTGCGCTTCGCTGTGAAGTGTGACGGACGCCCCGAGATATACATATACGCAACGTAAGATGAGAAAGATTGTGCGGGTGCATCATGGTTTTTGGTTTTTGTTTTTTGTTTTTTTTTTTTTTCCGATTTCATCTGTATACGTATATATATATGTTTTATACATGTATATATATATACACGATATATCGGTCGATCGTTATCGTTCTGTTTACATACGTATATAATATCTGATATGATTCGATCGTTATTATTATTATTATTTTTTTTTTTTTTTGTCTGTTATTTGCGGCGTGTATAATGAGCTGTGGGCGAGTTTCTGCTTCGTCGACGACGAAGGCAGAGGCTGCGGTTGAAATGAGAAGACATAGAGAGACGAGGAGGCGCGATGATGTGTCGGTAGCCAGTCGACAACGATCAGCCAACGGTAATACATAGGCAGAGAGACATAGTGCAGGCATATTATGGTGCGGATGTAGGCTGTAGTAGTGTGGTAGTAGTAGTAGTAGTAGTAGTAGTAGTAGTAGTAGTAGTAGCAGTAGTAGCAGTAGTAGTAGTAGTAGTAGTAGCAGTAGTAGTAGTAGGTTAGCGCGCGAGCGAATGCAGGCCGTGCTGCTGCTGCTGCTAACCTGAGATTTCTGCAGCTCCTGGCACAGCTTTTCGAGCTGATCCTGGAACCGCTCGCGCTCCACGCCCGCCTGCTTAACGCTCTCTTGGGCGCGTTCCAATTCCTTTCTCAGTCTGGCGACCTCCTGGCCGTTTTGCTGTTGCGGATGCTGTTGTTGCTGCTGTAGCTGCTGTTGCTGCTGCTGCATCGTCACCTGCATCTGCTGGATCTGCTGTTGTTGAGCGTGCAACTGCCTCTCGGTGTTCTGGATACGCTTTTGCAAGTCGGCAGCCTGCCTCTCAGCCGCGTCCGCCCTCTGTTT